AGGTAGGTGGGTGGTCCCAGTGATGAGAAAGACGAGGAAGATGCAGGGCGGGAATTGGCTGGCACTGCTTAATCTTAGGCTCTGGATAATGCTTCTGGTGCCGCTTCTCCCCTCAAATGCTGAGCATGAAGAGACCTACGCTTAAGATGTCGAGCGAGCCAAGAGCTCCCGAGCGCAGGTGTTGTCAGCTCTGGAACTGGCGCACTGCAAAAGAGGAGACCGCCAGAGGCGCAGAGAGGCAGCCGCAAACACTCGCTGAGCCCCCCGGCCAGCCTGCGGGCCCTTCCAGCCATCGGGGAAGATGGGGAAGAGGGGACCGTTGACGACCAGGTTGTGGTGCACCTCGAGGGCCCTCCCCCGTCCGCCTCCTCGCGAGCAGCGAGCGCGTGCCCACGTCCCCGCCCCCGCGGGGTCTGGACTCCGGGGCGCGATCCGGCGGACGCGCGGTCGCACAGATGCGTCCCGCGCGGGGCATCCGCGGCAGAAGCGCCCCGTATCCGTGGGGTCGCGGCCCAGGGGCCTGGCCCGCGAGGCCGTGGACGCGGACCTGCTCTTGCACCCGTGGCCTCCACTTCTTCCCCGCCCTGCCTCGCCTCCCCCTGCCCTCCCTCCTCTGTGGCTATCCGCAGGCTGCCACGCATGACAAAATCGACTCGCATTCACAGTCGAATCGATCGAGTGGGGGGGGGTCATCCGTGGAAGAGGGGAGTCGCCCTCGCGAGAGCATTGTCGAACCAGTCGATGCCACGCGCAGACACAGGCAAGCATTATCAAATCGATCAAATCGTGGACGGCCGTGTAGCCCCCTCCCACCCTCCCCCACTGTCATGCTCCTGGCTCCTGTCAGTGTGCTGAGCGATGGTCGAAGATGGGTTCCACCCACTCAGGCCTCCGAAGCAGGCATTGCCGCGCCTGCTTTGCACATCATGTCCTTCCAAAGAGCTTAAGGCTTACGTCTGCCACCCGAAGCGGAATCAAGGCTGCGCTTGGGATGTGAGGTCGAGGGGCGTTCCGCGTACAGGGCAGTTTCTAACGCATTGGATGTTTAAAAAAATGTAGAATTAAAAAATATATGAATCAATGTATGCATGAACTCATCTTTGCTTTTAATGCTAAATCCCTGCATTTTTAATACATAATCCGCACGCGGAGCATGTATTGAAAACGGCACTGTACTGACGCACCCATTTTTTGGCTTACGCGATGAGCCTCTACCCCGCGCTCCTTTGGCGGCACTGCTCGCCGTCCTCACGCCCCATCAAGAGTCCTCTGCAGTGGCTCCAGCAATCCTCTCTGAGGTGCCCACGGCCCCGGGCTGGGGCTTGTCGCATGCAGGCGCGGTGTCGTGCTCCCGGAATGGCCTCAAGACGGCTTGAGAGGCCCCCAAAATTACCCCAAGATGGCTGCAAGAGGCCCCCCCCAAGAGGGACCCGAGGGGCAAAAATCACGTTGTTCTAACGTGGTTGAAAGATTGTGGCGTTCTCGCCGTTTCATGCTTCCAACGCTCCCAGACGGACCAAGAGGCCCCCACGGTCCTCCCAGAACGGCCCAAGATGCCGCCAAGAGGGCCCCAAGACGGCCTCAACACTAACTACCTACCAGACCACCCCAACCCAACCCGAAGACCCGAATTTGACCCGAATTTCGGGTTGGGGGGGGTACGGGCTCCATGTGTTTCTCCAACGTTCCCCGACCCCCCCCACACACTAGAAATCGAGGATACATTTGGACCTTCGGGTTGGGTTGGGGTGGTTTGGTGGGTGGTAAAAGACGGCCCAAGAGGTCCTCAGGACGGCCCAAGGGGGACCCAGGAGGGAGCATCCGAACGGGCAGTTCGAGCCCTGCGCCCCGAGACGACCTTCTCGAGACCTCCAGCAGGCTCACAAGAGGACCCCCACGAGACCCCTCGGAAGCCCCACGAGGCAGACACGAGGCCCCGAGAGGCCCCCCAATGAGGCCCCCGGCGGGCCCCAAGACGCCCCAAGATCGCCTCCAGGAGGCTTCCGAGGGGCCCCCCAAGAGGCCTCTGACCTACAGCCCAGCCAAGCACGGCAGCGGGATGGGCCGAAGGCCACGAAATTCGCCGCCCTCTGCTGCTTGCAAGAAGGGTTGTAGGCATGCCAGAAATTAGCGGTTTGAACCCTTCCAAGAAGATCCAAATGAGGCCTCGGCCGATCCCACCGGCCACGCGGGATGCACGATAAAAAACTCAAAAACACCTACGGTCCAAGAGGGGCACAAAACGGCACCCCAGACCTTCAAGACGGCAAAACTGTCCTCCAGAACGAGCCAAAATCCCTCGAAGACGACCCCAAGACCTCCCCAAGACCCAAGAGATCCAAGAGATCCAAGAACGCCCGAGGAACCACCAAAACGCCGCAAAACTAGTTACCCCAAGAGCGTCAAGAAGCTATCCCACTGATAATCACTGATTCGTTTTTGTTGAGTGCTCGTTTCCCCGTGGAGACCCGCGATGATTCCCGCTATGCGGGCTCGATTCGGCGGGCCCCGTGAGGACCCTGGCCGCGCTCGACACCGAAAAGCGTTGCAGCTTGAATGAGAATTTGAAGGCCTGACACAGGATATGCAGACTGGAAGGCTTGCTACAGCCTCAGTAGCCCGGCCTGTAGCCCCAAGATAGCTATCAGGGAAGCACCGAGCACGAGTCACAGCGGCCCCCGGCTGCACCCCGATGCGTCTGGAGGCTCCGTGGCGGTCCCCGCACCTGCGCTTTCAACAAGAAGACGCCCATCCAAGACACTCAGGAGAGAGAGAGAGAGAGAGGCCACACCCCGCGCCTCCGAGTTCAATATTCAAGTTCGCGTGCATGCCGCATCTCGCAAAGAGCGGGCTTGTCGAAACGACTTGTAGTCCTCCGAGTGGGCCGCCGCCAACTTTGAAACTGGGGCCTGGGATTTGGTCCCGTTTCAATGCACCTTAGAGGTAGGCACTGCTTTCGAAAACCAGAGTATGTTCGAAATGGTTCGAGAAGGTCTCAAGACGCCTCAAGATGGCCCCCACGCGGCCTCTGATGGTTCCAAGACGTCCCAAGACGGTCGCACGACAACCAGAGAGGCCTCCGAAGCGCCCCCGGGGCGCTCCAAGAGGACGCCCAGGAGGGTCCCAGCTACCAAAAATCGCCTCACTCCCTAAGAAGAAAACGCACATGCTCGTTGTGTTCGCCGCCTTGGTGTCCCGCGCGTCCAGGACGGCCCAGTAAGCCCACACAGTCGCCCAAGAGCTCCCAAAGAGACCCCCACGTGGCCAAATCAACTTCAAAAAACCCAAGACGGCCCAAGAGGGCCTCAGGGTGGCCAAGGGGGCCCCAAGACGGCCCAGAGAGGCCCCGAAACGGCCTCCGAAGGCGCCCAGACGGCGCAAGCACGCCCGAAGACAGCCCAAGACGCCCCCGAGGACGCCTCGGGAGGTCTCCAAGGAGCCCCCACGAGGCCCCAAGGTGCCCCCAAGACGCCCACGAGAGGCCCCCAGGGAGCCCCCGAGAGGCCCCCCCGAGAAGCCCCGGCAAGAGGCACAAAAAGATCGCCTCGGAGAAGCCTCCGGGAGGCCTCCCGTCGTGGCCCCCTCGTGGCAGGTGCTGCCGACTGCTCGGCTCCCCTGCTGGCTCTTCTGTTAATGAAGGGGCCCTGGGACACACAAATAAATACACACAAGTAAAACGATTCCCCATATTTTCCCATATTTTCTAGGTTTGTGTCTTCCCGCCCAATTCCCATACTTTCCTATCTTTTCCTGGGAGTCGACGATTAATTGTGTCTGTGTTTTTTCCCCTCCTGAATTAAGCGCTGGGGGAGGGCGCGAGGAGAGCCCCCCGCGGCCCCTCACGATAGCTGGTCGATCCCTATGGCCCCCCACGATGGCTGGTCGATAAGCACGGGGGGGGGGGGGCGGGAGCTCCCGGTGGCCCCTCACAGCGGCTGCCGATCAGCACCAGGGGAGAGCGCGGGGGCTCCCTGTGATTGAGGTCTTGGAGACCGGGCAAACCACTCGCATGTACAGGCCTCCGCGCGCGCACTTAGTGGCACGCGCGGCGCACAACATCTCGCTACTGTTCTATCCCCTCTCGAGGCAATGCTCCACGTGGCTCCTCGTCAGAGGATGGAATGGCACGAGCGCCGGCTCCTATCCGTCCGCCAGTTTGGGGCATGCGGGGCACCTGCGTTTCTCTTCTGCCTGACTCACGCACCCGAGGTTGCAAACGCGCGCGGTCCAACGTTGCGCCGCCTGGACGTCTCTCAACCTCCGTCTCTTGCCGCGGGCCGCGCAGCTTGCCGCGTCTAGTCGTCGCCAGGGAACCCCCTTGGGGTCGACGGTGCGGAGCAGGCCAATCTCCGCCCGAGGCCATAAACCTTCCTAAAATACTCAATGGTTGCGCCCCCGAGGCCATAAACCATAGTAAATTATACAATGCTTGTGTCCACGAGGCCACAAACCCTCATAATTTACACGATGTTCCCGTTCCCGAAGCCATAAACCATCGTAAGTTACCTTGTACTCGTGCCACCGAAGCCGTAAACCCTCGTCAATATTGGCCCTCACGTGAAGTCCCGACATTGCTTCACGTCAGCGTCCAGACATCCCAACACAGCTCTGGCAAGTCCCATTCTAAGAGAGGGGGGGCCGGCGGCATGGGGGCGAAGCCCTTGCGGATAAATCTGAATGCCAGCTTGGAGGCGGGCGGGGAGCCTCGACTGGTGGGACCCCACAGAATCGATCAGGAGGGAAGGGGACAAGCCTAATCCACCCAAAAATGGTCCCAAGACCCTCCCAGAGTCCATCTGGTGCACTGCACACCGGATCCGTTTTAGACGGTCCTGAGTCCCAAAACGCCAGTCAGAGGCGAAAAATACAAGAAATAGCCTGGCGAAGGACCCAACCACATGCAGCTGTGAATACCGTCGTTGTTAGTATCGCCTTCGATGGATCTCCTTGTGGGGCCACGAGTCGCGTGAAGAGTGTGCCGAAATAGGGCAGGGTGGAGCTCCCTCTGGGGCCACGAAACGTGTGAGGGGTATGCCAAAATGGGGCGGCGCCGCCATGCGGACTGCGCCACTGGGACCTTCGCTGGAGCTCCCCATGGGGCCACGAAACGTGTGAGGGGTATGCCAAAATGGGGCGGCGCCGCCATGCGGACTGCGCCACTGGGACCTTCGCTGGAGCCCCCTTTATGGGGCCACGAAACGTGTGAGGGGTATGCCAAAATGGGGCGGCGTCGCCATGCGGACTGCGCCACTGGGACCTTCGCTGGAGCTCCCTCTGGGGCCACGAAACGTGCGAGGGGTGTGGCAAAATGGGGCGGCGCCACCATGCGGACTGCGCCACTGGGACCTTCGGTGGATCCCCCTATGGGGCCACGAAACGTGTCAGGGGTATGCCAAAATGGGGCGGCGCCGCCATGCGGCCTGCGCCACTGGGACCTTCGCTGGAGCTCCCCATGGGGCCACGAAACGTGTAAGGGGTGTCCCAAAATGGGGCGGCGCCGCCATGCGGACTGCGCCACTGGGACCTTCGCTGGAGCTCCCCATGGGACCACGAAACGTGTGAGAGGTGTGGCAAAATGGAGCGGCGCCGCCATGCGGACTGCGCCACTGGGACCTTAGGTGGAGCCCCCATATGGGGCCACGAAACGTGTGAGGGGTATGCCAAAATGGGGCGGCGCCGCCATGCGGACTGCGCCACTGGGACCTTCGCTGGAGCTCCCTCTGGGGCCACGAACCGTGTGAGGGGTATGCCAAAATGGGGCGGTGCCACCATGCGGACTGCGCCACTGGGACCTTCGCTGGAGCTCCCCATGGGGCCACGAAACGTGTCAGGGGTGTCCCAAAATGGGGCGGCGCCGCCATGCGGCCTGCGCCACTGGGACCTTCGCTGGAGCCCCCTTATGGGGCCACGAAACGTGTGAGGGGTATGCCAAAATGGGGCGGCGCCGCCATGCGGACTGCGCCACTGGGACCTTCGCTGGAGCTCCCTCTGGGGCCACGAAACGTGTGAGGGGTATGCCAAAATGGGGCGGCGCCACAATGGCGGACTGCGCCACGGGACCTTCGGTGGATCCCCCGGCGAGGGGATGCCAAAAGGGGCGGCGCCGCCATGCGGCCTGCGCCACTGGGACCTTCGCTGGAGCTCCCCATGGGGCCACGAAACGTGTCAGGGGTGTCCCAAAATGGGGCGGCGCCGCCATGCGGACTGCGCCACTGGGACCTTCGCTGGAGCTTCCCATGGGGCCACGAAACGTGTGAGGGGTATGCCAAAATGGGGCGGCGCCGCCATGCGGACTGCGCCACTGGGACCTTCGGTGGAGCCCCCTTATGGGGCCACGAAACGTGTGAAGGGTATGCCAAAATGGGGCGGCGCCGCCATGCGGACTGCGCCACTGGGACCTTCGGTGGAGCTCCCTCTGGGGCCACGAAACGTGTGAGGGGTATGCCAAAACGGGGCGGCGCCGCCATGCGGACTGCGCCACTGGGACCTTCGCTGGAGCTCCTTCTGGGGCCGCGAAACGTGCGAGGGGTGTGGCAAAATGGGGCTGCGCCACCATGCGGACTGCGCCACTGAGACCTTCGGTGGAGCCCCCCATGGGGCCACGAAACGTGTGATGGGGTGTGCCAAAATGGGGCGGCGCCGCCATGCGGACTGCGCCACTGAGACCTTCGCTGGAGCTCCCCATGGGGCCACGAAGCTTGTGATAGGTACGCCAAAATGCGGCGGCGCCGCCATGCGGCCTGCGCCACTGGGACCTTCGGCGGAGCTCCCCATAGGGCCACGAAACGTGTGAGGGTGTGCCAAAATGGGGCGGCGCCGCCATGCGGACTGCGCGCCACTGGGACCTTCGCTGGAGCTCCCTCTGGGGCTACGAAACGTGCGAGGGATATGTCAAAACGGGGCGGCGGCGCCATGCGG